AACGCACAAAATTTTTGAAAGCAAACCAGAAACTTCTCAATGCAAACCACAAACACGATAAAGCAAACCAGAAACTTCTTAATGCAAACCACAAACACGATAAAGTAAACCACAAAAGGCATACAAATATATGAGAAACCAAACCATAAATCTCACAATGCAGACCATAACATCCGGTGGTTATTGACCGTTGACCGGTCAACTAACTTTGTTGACCGAACTCCAGTGACCGTCAGTGAGCAGATTCCGACGCCGATAGACATATTCCGGCTCCGATGACTAGATTCCGACGCCGGTAAGCATATTCCGACGCCGGTAAGCATATTCCGGCGACAAAAAGCATATTCCGGTGACCGGCGACCGGTGGCAGAATTCCGGCGACCAAATTTTGGGCAGAAAATAAAAAAATATTTGTTTTATTTTTTATTTTTTTTATTTAAATAGATTTTTCATAATGACAATTATACCCCTGCTTTGATTTTACACTAGGTCAACTCATCTAATAAAAAGTCATCACAACCCTAGCTTCCTATTGGTTGGAGACTAATGTTGTTACAATAACAACAAATATGGTGTTGTCACCATATCCTCTCCCATATTATACCTATAACCCTAAAATTTATTTACTTTTCATATACTTCTCCGTTAATTTTCAAATTCTTATTATGAAACATATGTATACCTTACGTAATAGTTGAATAATAATATTATGTAAGTATTATATAATATATGCTCTTATTAAATATTAATATATAATTACGTAAGGTGCAAGGCCACTACAAAAACCTTATGTAACGATTTTATTAAACTATTAAGGAAAAAACAACTGTCAGATGCGTATTATGTGCAGTGAGTGAAGAAGAGGATAGTCACATTTTCCTCAATTGCATATTTGCGGTAATAGTTTGGAACATTATGCAAGTCTTTGTACACAAATCTACTAATCCAAAGGAATGGTGTACCAAGACTGTTCTACATGCTCCTTGCTGGTTCATTTGGAGGGAAAGGAACAAGTCCATAACGGAGGCCAAGGTTGCTTACAAAATTGGCAACCTGCTAGCTAGGTGGTTAATTGGAGCAAACAAAGTCGAAAGCGACGTAGTTGAGGAATGGTTGAATGTGGGAAGGGCTAACTCTTTCCAGCGGGGAGTTGTGACATGTACATGATAATCGAAACGTAGGGTTAGACGAAACGGAGAATATGAAACGGAACAAATAGATTTTACGTGATTTCCTTGATCGGTGTGATCAAGACTATTCCACGGAGAAAGCTTCTTCTATTATTCTTCTATCTTTGTCAATGGGTTACACGTACATATATATACTCACAACCCCAAGCTATAGCCGAAATTCCTTTCCTCTATGTACAAAGCAAGCTTACACAAATATATACACATATGGGCCAAAACCCTAGATACTCTAACAGCCTCCCCCAAATTGATGAGGGTCTCGCATCATCAATTTGCTAGCAAGATAAGAATGACGAGCATCAGTGAAGGCCTTCGTGAACAAGTCAGCAGGCTGTTCCTCTGATGAAATATAGGAATAGGATATCCAAAGCGTGTCGCCACTAACAAGATCACGAATATAATGGACATGTACATAAATGTGCTTAGTACGATCATGAAGGACTGGGTGTGTGGCAATACGTATGGCACTGGTATTATCAACATATAACTCCATCGACTTCTGACAAACATGCAACCACTCTAGTTCATATGTGACATCTAACATAGCTCGATACTAAGCCTTTGTAGAAGATTTACACCCGATCTTGTTCCTTGCAGCGGCCAGCGCCAAAAAATCACAGAATCACCTAACCGAACACACCATCCAGTAGTAGATCGATGTGTATCAATGCAACCAGCATAGTCTGAATTTGAGAACGCATGGAGAACTAGCGATCCTGTACTTGGCAAGAAAAAACCAACATCTCTCGTTCCCTATAAGTAGCGCAAGATCCTATGAACTGCATCCAAATGAGTTGTCCTCGGTGCTGCCATGAACTGACTCACTATATGAACTGCGTATGCTATATCCAGACGGGTAGAAGCAAGTTAAATCAAACTCCCAACTATAGAACAGTGCTGCTTCCCCCGTCGTCCAATGGCTCACCTGTCTCCCGCCCCAACTTGAGATTCAACTCCATGGGAGTGGAAACCGGATGACAATCCGCAAATCTAGCAGCATCTAGCAAATCAGTGATATATTTGGTCGGGCTAACCAAAACACCAGAACTAGTACTATGCACCTCAAGACCCAAATAATACTAGAGAGAACCAAGCTCCTTAAAATGAAATGATTGGTGAAGGCCCTGAGTCAAGGCACGAATGCCTTCAGCATCATCTCCATACACAATCATATCGTCGACATAAAGTAATAACACAACCAGACCCCGAGCAGTGTGACGCAAGAAGAGGGATGACTCATTAATGCTCTGAGTGAACCCAAGACCCAGGACTATGGTCTGGAATTTATCAAACCATAAAGTGATCGACAAAGAAGACAAATCTGATCATGCGTGCCAAGAGAATATCCCGAAGGCCGTTCCATATATACTGTCTCTTTCAACTCACCATGAAAAAAAAGCATTCTTCACTTCAAGTTGATACATCGGCCACCCACGCAAAGACTCCACAGCAAGAAGACAATGAACAATCACCATCTTTGCGACTGGAGCAAATTTCTCATACAAATCAATACCATACTCCTGACTGTACCCCTGAGCCACCACCCGGACTTTGAACCGTTCAATAGTGCCATCAGAAAGCTCCTTAATATTATAGACCCATTTACTGCCATTCACATGTACCTCAAGTGGGGGACGAGGCACCAGATCCCACGTATGGTTCGCATGGAGAGCATCAAATTCCTCAGTCATAGCATTTTCCCAAACAGGATCACCAGCAACCTCGAAGTAACGTGTTTCCAAGTATGGTTCATGGAGAATACGAAACAGAACAAACAGATTTTACATGGTTTCCTTGATCGGTGTGATCAAGACTATTCCACAGACAAAGCTTCTTCTCTTATTCTTCTATCTTTGTCAATGGGTTACACGTACTATATATACTCACAAACCCAAGCCCTGGTCGAAATCCCTTTCCTCTACGTACAAAGCAAGCTTACACAAATATATACATATGGGCCAAAAGCCCAGATACTCTAATAGTATAAGTCGTGGTCACTGCAGTATCAGGAATATGAAGCTGATGTTGCTGCTACAACTGTACTTGGTGCCCAATTTCCACTTTAGAGGTGGTCTTGGCTTGAATCATTGAAGTTGATTCATTGTATAGTGAAACCACGAATGAAAGATGAATGCACTTCGTGTGGACAACCAAATCGATAAGTTCTTTCCAGAGCTCTGGTGGCATTACTAAAAAAGGGGTTTATGACAAGGATTTTTTCCACCTATAGGAAGGGTTTTAACCCCTACAACGAGTTGTGGCATGGGTTTTAACCCCTGTTACGAGTTGTAGCAAGAGTTTTACCAATCCCTTCATGAACCATCGCCAATGTTGCCCTGCTAGATGTAGCAAGGGTTTTGAGCAACCCACAGTGAAAGTTCCATGCAAGGGTTATAGAAGGGGTTTCAAATCCTTGCTACATGTATCAAGGGTTAAAACCCCTACTACATTTCAATATAAAATCCAATGGTGATATTCGTTTCTCTAACTAGCAAGGGTTAAAACCCTTGTGCAATTTGTCGATAAATCAATTGCCACCAACTCACAATTGTCACTGAAGAGAGACGGATAAAGTTTTTGAACAAACTGAAACTCGTTGCTAAAAGAAAATCACCAAAATTGGTGACTATAACTTGGTTGCAAATACTTTGATCACTATAGATAAATCCAGAACAAGTCAGATGCCACATCAACGCTGACTAAACTTTCTCTTAAAAATTAACAGTCAAAGAAGGTCAACACTAACGAAAAATACTTTAAGACACAAATGTCATATTGAATACTTTGGGACACAAATGACACATTCTTCATAGTTCAGGTTTTCTAGTGGTATTTGCCCAATACATTATCATAATCATGTATGTATGTGACATGTTCCACTACGGGAAAAGTGACATTTGCCAACACGTGAAAATTGTTGTAAAATGTGTTGAAAGTGTTGCCTATGCAATATGCAACACTTTTAGTAGTGTCACCTAAAAGTGGTGTTACCTAAAGTAATATGTAACACTTTGTTCACTTTTTGTAACAAAATAAGAAGTGTTGCATATGTATTACTCATATGTAACATTATTTTAGGCAACACCTTCAAAAGTTTTCACAACACTTTTTGAAAAGTATAACCAACATGTATTGTTTTATTCATGACAAGTTTTATCGTCACATAAGATGTTCTAAATCGTCACAAAAGAACGCTTGTAACGAATAGTATATATTCGTGACTCTTTTGTGTGGTCATCAATGTGTATCAAACGTTGCCGGTTAAAGTTGTCACAAAAGGTGATTTTAGTGACGATACAATTGTTACAAATTAGGTTTTTGTGACGATATTTTTGTTATACTCGTGACTAGTTATTTGTTTCCAATCCTCACCCTTGTAACAAAAGGAAGGTTTCGTGACTATGCTAGTACGACAAAAACAAGTTTTTGTGTCAGGCCTATTATTACATCTGCAACTATATTATCACAATTCACAACTATCTTTCTGTAACAAAATTTTGATAATAAAAGAATGAAATTTAATTTATTATCAAATAATGAGATGAAGTACATTAACGAAAAATAAACGAAAAATGCCTCAATTCCAATCTCAATAACATAATACAAACAAAATCGTTTTCTGAAGTAAACAAAATAAGTTTTTTCTCTTGATCAACTAGTAGAATTGTGTATCTCGCTGAACGATCATGTTCTTCTTGCTTTGTTTATAGGCGAGCTATATTAACGTGGGATTTCTTCTTTCCTCCGTGAATCTGTAGGCGGGCTATACTTTTGTACCTATGCATTTATCTGTCCTTGGCTTTATTTTTCCTTATTCTTCTGGCCGTCTGATGCACTATTGTCAAAAAAAAAAAAACACACAGATCCAATGTCCTTGGATTAAATGAGCTAATTAGAAACTAAGTAGAAACCAAATCAACAACGTCCCAACAAATAGTACCACACTAAATTAACAAGGAATAAACATACTAATGTAAAGCTAATTAAAATTAGAAACATAATACCTTCAAAGATATATCGTAGGGGATCGGCGGCTTGTGGAGATGGAAGCAACATCGCGGAGACTAGATAAGATGATGGTCATTAAAGGCGCCAACGACCAGTCGATAAAGGGCAAGATATTAGAATTGTGCTGGTAGCTATCGATCCATGAAGGAAGAGAATAAAAGAATTCTGGGAAGAAAACTAATACAACCAAGGGGTTTTTCTTCTGAACAGGAAGAGTAGTAGAAGAGTAGGGGTTTTATTGAGAGTATTTGTTGATCTAGAATAGAATAGGAAGAGTACTTATGGTTAAAACTTGGGATTTCCCCGAAAAAGGTGAACAATTATTTCTTTAGTTAATGGTTTAATTCACCTGCATAGCCATAACTTTCACGATTTTGACAAATATAGCCACATTTCAAAAAATACACAGATATAGCCATTCCGTCCAAAAGTTTAACGGCACTATCATGACTGCTGACTGGACAAATGATTGTTGGTGACGTGGTGATTTTTCATTGACGTGGCAATGCCAGGTGGAATATATTTTAAATTTCATTAATTAAAAAAAAAAACAAAAAGCTACTTTACCCTTTCACCTACCTACCCTTACCCTCGTATCCTCTCCTTCCATCCCACCCCACACCCATCCATCTTCTTCCCCTTCTTCTTCTTCTTTCGTATCCTCTCCTTCCGTCCCACCCCACCCCCATCCATCTTCTTCTTGTGCTGCTGCTTCTCCGCCATTGAAAGGCAACCATCAAATAAAACTTCCTCACATAATTCCCAAACCTTAAAATCCTCATATCTCTAGCCCCAAAACTCAATCGGAAATCTGCAAACAGGAGACCAAGAGTAAAAAAGCTTCAGATTCCTAAATCCCTAACCAATATCCCAAATCCAATCGACGCTGATGAAACTTGGAAATTCGGCCACAACTCGTTCTCCATCAGTTTTTGCAGCCGAAATTGGAGATTTGGGCAAATTATGGTGTCTCTCTTCATCTCCTTTATCTTCTCCGATTACTAAGCCCCGCCGCCCTCTGCCGTAGACTTCCCACCAGCGATGATGACGCGGAGACGATTTTGGAGGCGCAACTGTACCTTCCCCGATGGCAATTAAAAATGCCAGATATAAGTAGAGGATTTGAATGCTTGAGTTCCTCGATGTGCTGGCTCAACTTTCCTCCTTGGCAGGACGATTTCACACTAAGCAACAAACAATCTACTTATTCGTACTCAACAACAATATGCAATCGGGCCTTGTTCTCCAACGACCAGATAGCGCCAGATCTATAGATTCAGAGGATGAAGAGAGTCTTCTCGTGGTTGGGACTATCTGTATATTCAGAGGATGAAGAGAGTCTTCTGGTCGGGTCAGATTGGAATTGATTGGGAGGCGAGACGACCCAAGGTGAAGCGAGGTGGCAGAGTGGGAGGAGTAATGGTGGTGGTCGAGCTTGGGGGATATCGGGTTTCCGAGGAAGACTCAAAGAAATTGATTTCACTGGAAGGAGGGACGAGGCAAGAAGGAAGTTGAGTCAAGAAGATGCTTCCCACTCTTTAAACTCGAATGTAAAAAGAAACCGATTAATAACAGAGAGTTCTCTGCACCATGTTGGATCGAAAATCATTTATCGGAGAAGTAAATCTGGGCATCCCACTCCATAAAAAAGAAGATGCTTCCCACTCCCTAATTTTTTATTTTTTTATTTTAAAATTTAAATATGACGTGGCGAGCAAGAGCTGATGTGGGGGCTGATGTGGCATCCACATCAGTATAATGCTTACGTTATTGACGGAATCACTAACGACGTTACTGTTTTTAAAGGAAATGGCTAAATTTGTCATACTAGTTTTAGAAGTGTGGCTATATCTGTGTATTTTTCGAAAAGTGGCTATATTTGTCAAAATCGTGAAAGTTATGGCTATGCAGATGAATTAAACCTTAGTTAATTAAGGAAGATGTATAATTACTTTGAAGGAAGGATTTTGTCCCAATTCCGGCCCTTCCCGGATTTCATTAAAATTCTGCGTTTGGGAAGGCTTCAAATAATTAGAGATTCTGGCTATTAGGAATTTTGAAAACCTGCTAATTAGGAATTTCAAAATAACTGATTAGGGGCAGCTATTTTAAAATCCCTCGTTCTTGGATTTTCCCCCCAACTTTGCCCTCTTCTCTCGCACTGCTCTTCCGCCGAAGAAAACGGCCGGTGCCGCTCCTCCCCGATCACCATCTCTTCCCCAATCTCTCCTCCTCCAGGTCTCATATCTGTCCCTTCCTCCGACGCCAGATCAAATCCTAGAAGCAGGAAACGCCGAACTCGTCAGACGGATTCTGGGCGTTCCTCCTTCATTACCCAGAAAACAATTGTTGAGTTCTGGGTCGCCAACGGGAGATAGGCGGAGGAAGAAAGGAGACGAGGTCGAATCTGACATTGAATCGCCGAACAAATGCGTCGATTTCCGTACCTTTCCACTGTGCTGGCACCAACGTCGGATCGAGCTCGATCCAGATCTGAAAATCCAGGTCTGCGTTCTGGTCTCCGTTCCTCTGCTTCCTTCGTCGGTGGTGGTCTCTATTCCCATCTCCAATTTTGAGGACAATTTCTGGATTTCTTGCCGATCTCTGTGGGTGTTTTTTTTTAGTTTTGGTTTTCTTGAGAAAGAGAAGGTGGGAGGAGGGGAAGGGAGACATATTGACGATTTTGGGTTTCATCGTCAATTTCTGGGTTTCCGAAAATGGTCTGGGTTTACGGGCCTTCTTCCTTCGCCATGTGAGGACTGTTATGATTGCAGGAGGCAGGAATTTGATGGTTGGGAAAGGAATGAACTTTTTGTTGTTGTTAATGTCAGGTGGACAAAATTGATGGAATAGGTTACCAAAAAAAATTGATGGAATAGGTGGAAGGCAAGCTAAGTTTGCCACACAGAGAGATACGAGAACAGGGTAGGAGGAAGAAGATGATGGCAAATTTGTCATTTCACAAATTGGGTTCAAATTCCACTTAGCTAAACAAACAAGTAATTTGTTCAAATAACTCATTTAAATTTCCCAGGTTTTTCAATGAGAGATTTAGAGCCAAATCCCTCCTAAATCTCTAGTATCAAAATTCTTGATCCAAACGACCCCTAGGAGATTAGAAAAGGAAAAGCTAAGGATAAATCCCGTATAACTTCCCCGCCAATTGTTTTGGAAATTTTGAATTATGTATATTTTCACATATATCTTTGTTAACAGTGTATTTTGAATTATGTTTATTATTATGTATGGATTTCTGCAGTCTTGCAGTATGAACTATGGACTTCTATTTCATAAACTTGTCAACGAAGTTTCCTTAGGAAATTAAATAAGAATTTGGACAATTGAGTTGAAAAAAGTATAAGGAAGTTAACAAAAATAATATTAGATAGTGACTATTGAATGTTATTTTTCTCAACGTTTGTTCATTGAGAGTTCTAGTTAGTTTTAAACTCGTGTGCTTCATACTTAATAATATCAGTTAAAAATAATTATCAATTCTATAATATGTAACATTTTTAATTAGTGTTGTCTAAAACGTAGCAATAGCCAACACAATTTGCATCTATTAATAAGTGTTGTATATTATTAGGAATATGTAACAAATAATTTGGTGTTGCTAATTTTTGTTGTATAAGATATATATTCGACAACACATAACGAAAATGTTGCCTATGTCCACTTTATGTGACACTTTTAAAAAGTATATTCCTAATAACATTATTAAAATATATCTATATAGTTCAGTCATGTGCCACCATGCCACACGATAATTCCAATTGTGTAAGAATGTCATCGATTGTCGTAAAAAAAAATTTAGCCATCTAAATGAATTCAACATCCCTCACTTTCACAATTCACTTTTTTTTAAATCAGTCGTTTTCTCCCCAGCTTCCATGCAAACTTATTGGAAGCAATGTCTTTACTTTTTTGCTTGATACAATTCTAAATATTTTTTTTCTATTGGTGAAAATAATTCATTTCTTTGTATAGTGTGCGCGAAGATAGAAATTCTTAGGTCAAGCTCATATGCATAATCTAAAAATTACGTTAGCTTAATAATCAAGTTTGAAAATGGTACAGATCTCATGGTTGAAATTCAAACATATTTTCAATAACATACTTTTATAAATTAGATTGTATCTTTTTCAATTTAAATAGATTTCAAGAAATTTATATAGAAAATAAATTAATTGTGATCTACAAAATGATATTCATTTATATATGATTTGTTGAAAAATTTCAATCATGTATACTATCATGACATAGTTTTCATTCCACCATGATATATGACACCTTCATGTATATCTTTTTCCTAAATATATCATAGTAAATGTCATTTTCTAGAGTATAGTTATTTGATTTTTATGCAAAAGATATGAAATCCGAGTTCAAATGAATAAGTTATAGTATATTAGAATTAACGTGAAAGTGTTTATGCATTTGTGTTATGCATTTGTGTTTAATTGTAGGGTTATGCACCTAGAGTGTTCAAGAAAAGTTTCACATCAACTCTTTTGTCTTTAAAAAATGATTGAAGTGAGATTCATATAACTTTTTCGTATTTCAACTTTGCTCAAGTCAATTCAGCAAAATTCTCTTTTCTTTCACTTTTTCGCATTCAACCTTAGCTCCCTTTTTGCTGACATTTGTATGTCAACTCCGCTCAAGTCTCTGTCATTCATAAATAAGTTAAAATTACATCTGCCTCCGCAATTTACTTCTGCTTCATTATTGATGGGTGAATGATTAGAACAACATAGGTCACCACTAGAGGTGGCAATTAGGATCCAAATCCATGAATCCCATCCAATCCAATCTAATCCATCCACCAAATTATCCACCTAATCCAATCCATTTAAATCTAATCCATTTGATCCAAATCCAATTGGATTGGTGGATTAATGGATCAATCCATGAATCCAAATGACAAATGACAAATTATGATTTGGTACCTATATTTTTTATATTTTACATTTTGGTACCTAAAATTTATATTTTTATATGAAAAATATCATTGGAAAATTATATTTTGGTACCTAAATTTTTTATTATGACATTTTAGTATACCTAAACTTTTCAAAATTTATATTTTGGTCCAAGATTTGGATGTCATTTGGATTCATGGATCAATCCACCAATATATTTTATCCAATCCATGAATCCACCAACCCATTTGATTTGATCCATGGATCCACCAATCCAATCCACCAACCCATGAATCCAATCCATTTGCCACCTCTAGTCACCACCTTTCCACAGACATCTGCATTTTGACTTCACTCAAGCTGCCTTCATTACTAATTTCCTTCGTCATTTTTGTCTAGGTTGTGCTCCACAATCTCTCATCTCCAGTCGATTATAAATAGTAAACCTTTATTTTTTAATAAAAGTACATCAATTAGTCAATATAAGTCATAAACTAATTCATGTAAGTTGTTCTTTATATAATGTCTAAAAGGAACTCAATTGCATAAGATAAAACTTGATTCTTTATAGTTCTAATGATGATGAACATTAAATTATAAGGAAGAACACTATAGTCTACAACTGTCGGTACTGTTATTTTCTTACGAAAAATAATGAAAATTTTTGAATAACGAAAAATAATTCCAAAATCCAAAAATTTTATGTTGGGTTTCCTAACGTGACAAGTGACCTGGCGCTTGTCTAATTTGACGGTCAAAACCCTTGCCCAGCCAAACAAGGAAATATGGTGCTTAGTTTGGACAAGAGGAGTCATTTCAGAAACCACGAGCCAAAGTAGAAAGATGGACAACATGGTGGTCCATGCACATGCATTACCATGCAATGCAATCATGCTATCGTCTCTACAACCTAAATTGACTAGGATCAAGTAAACGTGAAATAAATGAGTCGGACACCCTTTGCCTCTCCCTGACCTGATTGTCATATGCCACTGACTCAAATTCCAAAAGTTGAGGAATGATCGCAGAAGTCCAAGTTCCCATCCAAATTTTGAATTTGGGCTAGCTCGTTGAGATGGCTTTTTGAAAATTCGGGTATTATTTAGTCTTCTTCCCCCATATCCAATGGCGGAGTGAGTTATCATGACATGTTGGACCAACCAACTGACTAAATTACATTGCTCCCCAAGTCTCATGGTTGGACCGATCCGAACCATCGCCGCTGCTTCCTTTCCTCCTTGGAAACAAGCACAAACTTCCCTTTGAACGTTCAACGTCACGGCTTTCTCTGCTTTGGCAATTAATTGGCACTATATATACACCTCGAACCACCAGTCCCCATATATCATTCTCTCAAAGGCCTTTCCTCGAACACTTGACGTGCAATATTAATTCCTCGCCTTCCCATAAAAACATACGCAGAAAACCCAACAATGGCCAGAGGAGGATTCATTCGGATTTTGAGCGTTCTGATCGCCGTTGCGGTCGTGATTCAGCTGCTGCTTGGCTGCGGAGTGGAGGCTCGGCCGTTCAATATACTGAAGTCCGATGCGGAGAGCAGCGGCAGTGGCGGGAGCTGGTGGGCCGATGCGGCCTTCTGGGAGGGGTTGGCCCTTGGAGCGGTGAAGCAATCGGGGCCCAGCCCAGGCGTCGGGAACAGCTTCACCGATGCTGCCAATGATGGACCCAGCCCCGGAGTGGGCCACTGATCGTATATAAAATTCATTTCGTTATATTACATACCTTTTTTATATAAATTTTCAATCTTGCTTAATTATTTAATTTATTATTTTCATGGGTAGCTACTTGGAGCCCTTTACATGTATAATTCACTATTAATTCTTTTGTTTCTTCACTTTTTCTTCTCTATAGTGGCTGCTGCTGCTGCTGCTATTATTGTACACTGCAGTGCTCATTACTGGTTTTCCTTTTCTTGTTCTTCTTTAGTGCATGGGATATTCGTTAGATTATGGAAAAAATTAATACAAAATAAAATTCTTTTGAGATTAATATTTGACCTTCAGTTTGTGATGGTGATTGGATAAGTTTCTTTTCCCCCTTTAAAGATGATTATATTGACTGCTCTTTCTTCATCTAAACTAACACTTACATGGTACCAGACTTTACCTTCTTTGAATAGATGATCATGATTCATGAATTGATAACAAGATTTTACCTTCATTTTTTATGTTTAAGAAACCATATCCTACCAACCAGTAGGGCGGAAAATACCAAGTATTGGACCTTAAGTACACGTGATGTTATCCTGCTTAATCTCAACTTTGAAATGTCAGATTGCTCATATTTTATTCAACTTTATTATATTGACCAGGAGAATTTCCTAATTAAGGGCATGTTCACTTGTGATACTACTTTCTATTTTGGTTTTAGAAATTGAGCAACGAAAACGAGAAATTTTATTTGCTTTTCATTGTGTTTTTTCGAACATTTTCAAATGGTACAAATATTATAAGGAGATTCTCCTTAGCAATCACCACAATTCACTTTTTCCTGGCTTCTCCGCACAGTGCGGAAGGATTCATTAGTCTTTTCATTTTTTTGGATGTTTCGCTACTTTTTGATGGGTTAAAACTTAAAAGCCAAATTAATGAGAGGTACAAATATAAAGGTTTATTAAAATTCATTCTCCAATGGTTGATAATTAAATAATAACTCAAGATCAATTCTTCATGGTTTTACAATTCAAGCTCCACTACTTAATTGTTGTCGCCATTCCCAATTATCCATATATCAATCACTCCCGCATTACGAATAGCCGGAGTATCTGGATACCCATATCGTTCGCCCGTATTAGGTCAGAAAATTTATTATGAAACACATATCAGGATAGATCAATATATATGAGTTCGCTTTATGTAGTTAAATATTTAAGAAATTGATATCACACCTATTTACAACTTTATTATTGTTAAGAATATGAGACAATAATATTATGTAATTTGAGTACAATTACGTATAATTTAGATAAAACTAGGTCGAGAATGGGAGATGTCAGGACAAGTCTGGTCGAGAAGAGTACACACGCATGTCCCTCTTCGCTTACGAGATGATTACTCATTCCAAATTAAAACATGTCAGATAGATTAGATAAAATTAGCTTGAAGTTGTCTTCCCTATCTAAGATCATTGTAAATGTACTCAGCCCAAAATTCATTTCTTAATTATGAATGTGTTTACAATATTTAGTTCTCAGAATTGAAGACTTCTAACTGTAGTAAGTTTTACCTATTTACCACTTTATTATTGCTAAGAATACAAGGCAATAAAAATAAAATCATAAAAATCACATATAATTTAGACAAAACTAGGTCAAGAATAAGAGATGTCAGGACAAATAATCAGGTCGAGAAGAGTACCCCTGCGCGTCCCGCTTCGCTTATCAGGTGAGTATTATCCACTCCAAATTAAAATATGTCAAATAAAATGCGTTAGGTCAAAGTTGCCATCCATATCCGGCATCATTGTAAATGTACTTAGCCCCATCATTCTTTTCTTAATTATGAATGAGTTTACAACATTTAGTTCCTGAAATTGATGACTTCTAATATTGGTAATGTTCGATCGATGGAACAACATCTATGGATTGCAAAATTCATGTTTGTCATGATGAACTGCCCTAATAAATTATTCTTCTATAAAGGTAATCCACTATAAAATATAATCACAACAATACATGCTTAGGGATGGATGGTTAATTAAATTGTCATGAATTCCTTGCTATGTGATTTTTACTTGTATTCTCCAACGTGTTCTGCTGTTGAGGCAAATAGTTTCAAAGTATTATGCCAAAAAAGGGCATCATTATGTCTAAAATATTCTCTCTCAACGATTTAGCCATTAAGTATGTTTTTATTTCAATTATTTTTAAGATTGTGCCTATTTAATATTATTTTTAGCAATTGGTTTTTGCAGTTCTATATCTCGGAGCAATATTGTTCCTGGAAAAATCATCCCATCAGTCAAATAATGCTTAAAGTAGTCGATCTTAAAAAATCACACGTAAGTAGATAATAATGTTAGCATAATTTTGCATCATTATGAAAATATAATTACTATTTATTCATGAATGGAAAAACAACTTGAATTTGCAAATACTATCATTCCCATATATACCTCGGACGCACTAAAGTTACTATAAATTTCAAAATTGTAAAGGTTATTCTACAAGGTGGGGTAGACACTGAGTTAAATGTCATTCACACACTTGATAAATTAATTAATCGACAATGTTACATATGAGCAGACATTCTTCTCTTATGCACTCACTTTGCTGCAGGCAAATCTACAAATTTTGGAAGTGATTGACTTTGGGTTATGGGGAAATTAATATTATTTGAATGTATATATTTAAGTGTGTGTTATAAGTTACGAGTTAATAAAAACAAATTTTGATTCCATAATTATTGTATTTGTGATATAAATTATGGAGATGAACTAAACAAATTTTCAACCAGGCTCTGCTTGCCAAGATAGGTTGGCGTATAATTATGGAACCTGATTCCCTACTGGCCCAAGTCTATAGGGGTAAATATTTCCCTTCCGGGCATTTTCTCTTTGCTAAAGCGCGGTCTCGCCCGTCTTGGGGGTGGCAGAGCGTCCTGTATGGGAGAAATTTGCTTGAGATGGGTCTCAGATGGCAGATTGGGAATGGGCGGTCGGCGTCTCTGCTTCGATCCCCTTGGATCCCTCAAATGCAACTTGATCCTCCACGATATAACCCTTTAGTGCTACCGGAGGGGGGGGGGGACCCTACTGTGGCCGAAGTGATTTGCCAAGGGGAGGGGCGTTGGTGTGAGTCCAAACTCAGTCAATGGTTTGACCCCCCCGACTTGTCGTATCATAAAGTCTATTCCTTTGCCGCGCCAAAACCTGGAGGATCGATTGATCTGGCATTATACCCGGGATGGGGTGTTTTCTGTTAAGTCAGCTTACCACTTGGCTGTCTCTGTCGATATGAGGAGAGGTTGGTGGAAATCGTCTGTGAGCTGGATGGACAAGGCCAGTTGGATCCGTTTGTGGGACGCTAATCTCCCCCCAAGCTTAAAGTGTTTGTTTGGCAGCTCCTGAACCGGATCCTCCCCACTACGGAGGCCCTCATTGAGAGAAATATCCATGTTCATCCTCGGTGTCCGGTTTGTTGGGGTGGCCCGGAGACCATGGAGCATTTATTTCTTGATTGTCCGGTTGCGCGTGCGCTTTGGAGGTATTCAGGTTTGGAGTATTTAGGAGAGGGGTTGCCTCGGCATACTTTCCCTCTGTTCCTGAAGAAGTTATTGGCCTTGGTCTCGGAGCCCCAACTGCTTATGCGAGTTGTCTCCGTCCTTTGGCGTATCTGGCGATCTAGGAATTGAGTGGTCTTTGAAGGCAAGCAGTATGCGTTCCCGGCTTTAATGCGTCAGCTTTCCCAGCAGGTGGAGGAATGGGTGGGCTTGCCGAGGGAGGCTCCCCTCCAACCTCCTCTCCCCGAAATTAGTCAATCTGGTCTGATCAATCCCGATGTTGGGATTGTGTGCCAATGGGATGGGGCTACTAGGAAGGGATCTCACTCGGCAGGGGGGTGGGTTCTCTTCGATTTGACGGGGAATGTTCTCCTGGCTAGTGGGGTCCAGTTCCCGGGGATTGATGAGCCAGCTGTGGTGGAATTGCTTGTGTTCCGGGAGGCTGTTAACTGGTGTTTGGCCCATGGATTATCAGAGGTAAGGTTTGAAGGGGATGCTAAGGTGATCATTGATAAAATCAACAAGGCGGAGATTCGAGATAACCAGCTGGGCGCGGTTCTTGAAGAAGTTGTACATGTTGTTAGCGATATCCCTGGTTTTAGTGTTCGATTCATAGGTCGACGTAGTAATAGGGCAGCCCATTTGGTGGCTAGAAAAGCCCTCGCTTTGTACCCGACTATGAGTCGTTTGTTTGACTTTCGAGCCTGGTTAGTGTCCAGGATGTAACTAGTTTTTTTTAATCAATATATGATTATCTTTTTTCAAAAAAAAAAACCCCTCCTGCACTGAGAGTCAAAGAACAAACCCAACCACCAATCTTAACCATATTAATGTAAGAGCTTAATAAATCGAAAATCCAGGATCTAAAGGAGGTAAACATGAGTTTGAATATAACGAGACAATTAATACATAAATGTTAACTCTTTCAGTAATATTTTAGGGCAATGTGTATTTTCACACAATGCAAAGTTTTCAAAGTTATGAATTGGTTATAGTATGTGGCATATGCAACCTATCACAAAATTTAGAAGATCACTACGACAAGTATTTTTGTGACAACATATTCATAATAAAATTATGAATTGGTTGTATATACTTCTTCCTATATTTCCTGCAGAAGGTTTGAACATTCTTTCGCTTCCAATTTAATCCAACTCCAGCAATGAACTCATTTCGACTAATAAAGGTTCTCATTATGTCATTGAACCCGACCATCGGGTCGGGCCCAAATCTAGTGCTTATTATGTAACATTTATGAATATATTAAGTAATAGTTGGATAAAATATTATGTAAGTGATGCGCAATATATGATCTTATTATATAATGATGCAAAATTGCATAAGGTTCAAAGCTAGTACATGAAGTTTGCGTAACTATAATATTAAACATACTTAAGAAATAAATGTCGTTATATGTTTCTCGTGTAATGCATTTATATCTTATACAATAGTTGTATAACGCTGTTAGT